CACCTTTTTTTTATCAATCCGATCTCAAGTGGACTAGATTTCCCCACGAGGGGTTCCGGCCAGACTTGAAATAACTGTGGGCGTTCACTTCGCTTCCCCGACGCAGCCAGGATTTTTTCCGATCGAGGGAGGGGAGGAGAGTTATGGTACTTCCAGAAGCTTTTTAGGAAAGTGGTTGAGAATTGATGAGTTCTCGTCTTGATAATGACAGTGGAGTAGGGGAGAATCTAAATTCCTCACTTTTTTCACTGTAGGAGTATAAGATCTAAAAATACATTTTAAAATGAAAATATTTAAAAGTTAAAAAAAGAGAAAAAAGAAGAACGAAATTTTTCTAGGGATCCGTCCCCAGATTCCAAGCCCTGACATCCCCTCCAAATGTCCCCTTTCCCAAGGCTAAAGTCTTCCCCAGAATCGCATTGGCCAACCGCGGAGATCCCGGAGCTCCGATAACATTTGTAAATGCCCAGTGGAGATCCGCTACGACGATTGCTCGCATCCCAGCGTCAATCAAACCCAACTCTGTGAAAGCACTCCCGCTTACCAGGCGGAGTCCCACTTTATGGACATTCGTTTTGTCTCCCCTATGTCATCTCGTTTCGTCTTAGTCGTATTTGTCCCCGGCAATCGTTCTGTATGAAGTCAAATTTGAGCAATCGCTTGTTTTTTGTGCGTTTTGATTTCGGTCATCTGTTGTGCTTCTTGATTTAATTTATCCATGGTATATCTCCTGGGTTATATTATTGTCACATCTGTAAAGTTTTTATAAAATTCTAAGGTACAACGCGCTTCCACATTTGATTCCCGTAGATCCTCCGCCAAACACACATACATATACACACACACACACACACACACGCTCAACTCACATACATACATATACATATACACATACATACACATCCACACACATACACGCATTTTACAAAATATCACCTATGGCAGCATATTGTTGAACAAACGTGATGCTGCTCGATTTCAGCTACCACTTTATTCGCCTTTTTTTCTGAAAAAGTGAAATGAAGATAAATAGCACGGATTTACCGCTCGAAGATTGCATAGCATCCGAACTATG